AAAAAAAAAAAAAAGAAAAAAAAAGGAAAGAAAAGAAAACATGTACAAGAATGTTCAGAGTAGCATTATTCACAATAGCCACAAAGTAAAAACAATATAAATGCTCATTAATAGGTAAATGGATAAACAAAATGTGGCACACCCATACAATGCAATGATTTGGCAATACAAAAAAGCCAAGTACAGATACATGCAATACCATGGAAGAACCTTGAAAATATGCTGAGTAAAAGAAGGCAAATAAAAAAGACGACATATCTATGATTCGATTTAAATAAAATGTCTAGAATAAGCAAATCCACAGAGACAAAAAAATAGATTAGTGGTTGTCAGGGGCTGGGTGAAGGATGTCACTGGGGTGTGAACACTAATGGGTATGGGGTTTCCTAATAGGGTGACAAACACATTCCTCAACTAAATAGTGGTCATAAGCTTATGAATACAAATTCTCCTCAACTTACAAGGGGGTTATGTCCTGACAAACCCTTCATTAGTTGAAAATACCATGAGTCAAAAATGAATTTAGATACTTAACCTATCAAACATCATAGCTTAGCCTAACCTACCTTAAACATGCTCAGAACAGTTACCCTACAGTTAGGCAAAATCATCTAACACAAAGCCTATTTTATAATAAAGTTATTGACTATCTCATGTAATTTATATGAATATTGTAATGAAAGTGAAAAGCAGCATGGTTGTATGGTACTCAAAAGTACAATTTCTACTGAATGTGTATCACTTTCACATCAACCATCAAAATTTGGGGTTCATCTGTATACTAAAAAGGCCACTGAATTGTGTATCTTGAAATAATGAATGCAAAGTTTATCTCAACAAAAAAAGTGTTAAAAAATTAAAAATCAACTCACCTGTCCTTTTTGCGGTGACAAACAATGAACAACTTCATCCACCATTACTGGAATATGTAATTTAACCATAGTGTCAAAATTTCTGTCTTGAGATCTACGTAACTCCTGGGCTTGAGTTTGATCTGTTTGCTCATGGGCTTCATATTCTTTATATTTTTCTACTGTAGTATGTATTCTTTTTGGCCAGACAGCTAAATTAGGTATGCCAGATTCCAACCAACATTTAAGATATTCTTTATACGTTCTACAAAAATATGGATACCGAAGCATTCTGTAGGTCAACAAATCTAGAAAAAAAAAATTAAAAATGATTGGATTTTTTAAAAGAATGTTCTAATACTTGGGGAAAATTAAATTAATATGCAATATTTAGCGCATCAAAAAAAATGAAGACTCATCATTTGAACATCTTAAACAAGTAAAGGTGACTAACCCTTCTTATATATACAAAGCGAGGAACGTAAGAGGACCCAGAGACTTAATTTAAACATTAAAAAATTAATTAGGTCAACATTTTTATAAAATATACTTTTCTGAATTTCAATTAAGGCTAAAAAGTAGATTCAGTGAATTAAAACTGTTTATTTGAAAAGTAATCAGAATGACTGAATGGATTATAAGTATCGTATTTTAGGTTTATAAGGTCTTTTATTTTAAGCTCCTCTATTTGTCCTTCTCATAATGCTAAATTCTCATGTTCAAAGACTATCCCTGGAAAAAGACTATGCATGTATATCCAAAAAAAAAAAAAAAAAGCTAATCAGTCTATGAAAATCTTGCAGAATCATCATATTCTCTGATGAGATCATCTCACCATATCCTGTATCAGTGGAATGTATATCAGTTTAAACTATAGCTGTATAAACACTCAACTGAGCACACTTTGGTATTTCTTATCTACGTTTAATTATCTGTCCCCTGCACCAAAAAAAACAAATAATCGATACAGTCCTTGGATTTACCATACGTGCTCCATTTTCTTCAGCAATCCATAACTCTTTAAAATGCAGAAGAAAAAATGTATTTATGTAAATATATTAACAGGAGACCTTTTGAAAACATCATGCATTTTACACCGAGTTAGTTTCAAGCAAAGTCTTTGATACTACCATAGTAAATACCCAGTTAACATTATTCTTTCCTCACAGGTTATTCGTTATTTAAGAATAAGATCCACACCTTTGTGTACAGAAAATAAGATGCACATTAGTGCTTAATAATTGTTTCTCTGAAGAAAACAAATGAATGGATTAATTCCAGACTCTACAGAATTAGCATTGTTATCAATTCTCACTTTAGGAAATTTCACCTATCTGACTAACCCCAACAAAAACCATATGTTCTCAAAATACTACAAGGAGCATAAATCCCACTTAAATATATCTGTCTTTCCTTTTGCAATAAAAAAAAAAAATTAAAAACATTGAAAAGCTGATCACATGTAATAAAACAGAAAGAAAAACAAATATAACATCAAGAAGATGTTACCTTGAGAATACTATGTTAACCTTAACAAAGCTGTAATCTACCAAATTATGTGGCCAATGTGACACCGAAAAAATGTGTGGGGAAAAAAATGAGTGATCTAAGTAGATTTTTCTATGCTTGGCAGCAACAAAATAGCCAAATTATTAATTATGCCTAAAGTTTCTGGAAAGCTTATAAAAGTAAGCTCAACTACCCTCTGACTTAGTGTTTCTAACAGTTTACAAAATAATAGCTAACATTTATTTAGCACTTACTAAGCACCACTTACTATTATAACCACACTACATGCACCACCTCATTGAATCCTTACCACAACTCTTGAAATATTATTGTTCCCATTTGATAGATGAGAAAAACAGATTAGTAATTTGCCAAAGGCCACATAGCTAGAGAGCTGTAAAGCTAAAACTGTAACACAGTCTATCCCCAGAGCCGGAACTCAATCTCCGTGCTATAAACATAGTCCACTGGAACTATTTAATGCACTTATGTAATTTAACAGTACTTCAATTACATTTACTATATATTTGCAATATCTCATAAATTAGATTCATTTTATTAGGGAATCGACATCCTGTGGCTTGGGTCTGCTCCACTTAAAAATAACAGTATGCTGCGGAGTTCCCAGTAAATGAACATATAATGCACAGGCCTAAAAAGTGAAATCTGGAATATTTAAACAATCTACCCTGTATGTCTAGATTTTGACAATTAAAAAGTAGTATCATCAATTTTAAAATAGGAATAACAACCATACAAAAAAAAAGGGGTAACAGAAAAAAAAAACTATTACTTGCATTTAATTTTCTTCTACTGCATTCAGCTTCTATGTGTTTATTCAACTATGGTCAAGGCACGAAGCCTGAATATTTTATTATGAACTAATTGGCTGCCAATTTGGGTCAACCTGCAGAAAGGGTGACAAACAGTTCGTTTTCCTTTTGTTGCCTTCAATACCTCCCCAAAAAATTGGAAGGTGGGGGAATGGCATGCTCTAAAGAGAATTATTTTCTTCTCTTTTGGAGCCCAGCTTCCTACCAGACAACTCAGAATTTCCTGAAGTCTTCTAGGAGTCAGCCACCCTAAATGATTTAAAATTAAGTTCCCTCTGGTTATAGGAAGGAAGCAGGGAGTCAGGAAAATTCCCTCTGTGCTGTCCTAGCTGAGTCATTAAATTTTCTTTACAAGAAAAGTTCACTTTTGGCTGTTGAGAGCACAAAATTGGCCAGGTTACTCTTTTAATTGTGAAAACACACAGTTGAGTAATGCCCATGAAGACTACTCCCTCAAGGGCGCTAACAATTATAATCATTGCAGTTTTCTCTCGCAGGGAAATCCTGTTAGAAAACGTAATTCTTAAGGACAAAAACGCGACGTGGAAGCTGGCACACGAACGCTGAGAAAGTAAAAGAGGTTCTAAGGAAAGAGAAAAATACGCTCTTTCGCCTAAGAGTTACCCTCTTACGAGGAAAAACTATTCGGAAACTTCCAAACTCAGGTTGAAGGCGTGTTGAAGAGAGCGGCTACAGGGGCGTATATATCCTTTGCTCCGGGCGAATCCAGCGACCCATGAGAGTACTCCCAAAGGTTTGGTGGTTTCCAAAAAGAGTTCCCGAGACTCGGTCACCTTCTCCTCACCTGAGGCACGAAGACTTCTCAGTTGGCCTCCAACTTGGGCCAGTGACTACCACTACGGTGCCGGCGAACCTGAATTTGCCGTACGTCTGGGTCCTAATCCTGGGGGAAACTTGCAAGGACGGACAGCTTGGGTCCACGTCCGCCCCAGCAACTGACGACCGTCTGCCTTTCGTTCCGCTGCTTCCAGCCTCGGCTGCCAAAAGGTCCTGTTGGCGCTGGGATTTCCAAACGACTTCCCTGGGGGAAATAAATAAGACCTCACTATTGCCATGTTTATACTCACATTTACTTTTTCATTTTTTTTTATTTTCATTTTTTGGTCTGAAACAACTTTCAATCTAACTTTTCATTTATCCTTATCTCTTCGGTTTACAATGAATGTATATCGAATTTGTGTTCTGATAAAACTGCGATTTTTTTTTAACTAAAAGTGGGAATTTCTGTCTCATTAGCTCTATGTTTAGAAATTACAAGTAGCAAGGTGGCACAGTGGTGGCATTGATTGTAATGTCAAAATCTCTCTGCTTGTACCAAATATGCAATTCCTTTAAAATACAGACCTCATCATCTGAACACTGCTAAATGGCAAGTGTGTAACACTGAATTTGAAATCTAAAGTACTTGGATTAGGTGTGAAAACATCTGTGGCACTAATAAGCCTTATACAATCTGGGCGTCAAAAAAGACAAAATTTAAAACACTTCTATTCTTCACCAATGATCCATGCAATTTTACAAGCAACTGGCAAAATATACATGTTTTCAAACTGGATTAAGATAGTCTCTTAATGTCACTTAATCCAGAAAGTATTTCAGAGACAAATAACTCAATTCTGAATTTCCTTGCCTGTATAGTTCAAGACAAAATTTTGTGTCAGTGATTTTCTGAAAACTTCAGTTTTCTCTCAGAAAAATGAAGATAATAGTATCTATATCTCATGGGCTGTTTTGAGAATTAAATGAGAGACCGTATGTAAAGTGACTAATAAAATACCTGGGAAGTCATAAGGTAAAGTACTATACAATGAGTGCTTATTGGAAATAAAGGCATCTTGATTTTATTACCAATCCCAGCAGCACACAAATAACCGTTTCATTAGCTAAGATACACATAATACAGCCAAATATTAGTAGCTTTATTGATCCTCTGCCTAGTGATCAGAAACAATCATATGGCATGCATCATATAAAATACACAATACTCCCGATTTTCCTCAACAGGAAATAGATGTCCATAATATGGCGGTTTCAATATATTGTTGCATTTATAATACTCTGCATGGGTATGAGTCATCCTATTTATAAAGTGATATTGAATCAACAGAATATAAGCTCCAGGGGGGAAGACTTTGATTCTATTGTATACTACTGTGTGTCTAAAATCTGAATAAATATTGAATGGATACAATAACGGAAATATATAGAACAACAATGAAATTCAGATACTATCATTAAAAATAACCTGCCAAATAACGATGTTATTTTAGCAAACATACTTCCCATTTGTTCCAGTTATTTTCTCTCTTTTCAAAGTGTATGTTCTGAAATAATACCTACAACCTGGGACTTAAAAAAAATCACTTCACCTAATAACAAACCAAGCCAAAATCTTTAAATACATTTATTTTGTTATGCCATCATTAGAGAATGTAAAAAGCAACCAAAAAGCATACAGTTTCACAGTCAGTACTAATGGGAGTAACCTTAGAAGTCCTGAGAAATGAAGCCTGAGGCCTCAACCCAAAAGTATCTCCAATTAATTCAGCTAAAGAGACCCCACATTTTGGCCCAGAGGGATGTGTCTTGAAGAAACAGGTCCCTACAACTTCCTGGAGGCCTCGCTACTCTGAAAAAAGAAAAGAAACACCCAGAACCCATTAATCCACACCCAAACTCCACCTCTCCGCCTAGCAGAGGGTATAAGCCAAACCCTGCCCGCACCAGTCTCACTCACACCCTGAACTCTGGGACCAGGCCCTGCACCCGCCAGTCCAGAGGTGGCCTGATGATCTCAGGAGGCTGCCTCCCACCAGCGGTTCCGGCCTAGCCCCGCCCACCTTGGCCACCTCCTCCGGAAACGGCCGCGCGCGTTGCCATGGTGACTAGTAAGCGAGGTCGCTTCCTCTGCGCCGCGAGGCTGAGCTTCTTGGCGCCAGGCTGCCGCGAGCCGTCACAGCGTCCGACGTGATGACATCACAAGGGCGGCAGCCAATGAAACGAGGTGCCGAGGAAGCTGGCTTGGGTTTGAATATTGTGGTTGAGTCTGAAGCGCAGGGAGGCGGACATTTAAGTAAAGTGGTTGCAGGAACCTCGCCTGGGCCTGAGGTGAGTGAGAGACACGGGAAGGTAAAACTGGTCTCTGGGACGCTCCTTTTCATGACTTGTCTCATTGGTAACGGAGGTCCTGCCGCTTCAGGTCTAGAAGACCAGGTGGGTTTCTTGACAGACACGGAAGGGTTGAGGTGTGGGGGATCAGGGTCCCTGGGGACAAAGTGAAAGGAAAAAGGGATTCGAAGAACCTGCTAAGAGCATAGCTCTGCTTGACCGTAACCCTCGACTGCTTAGCTGGAAGGGCAGGGATCTCCTTCGTTAAATTCTGAGAGGAAGTCGTAAGTTTTAAAGGGTGTCTTGGCCCCTTTCCCAGACCTTGGCAGAGAACTTTAACTGTCCAGCATCTTGCAGTGTGAACTTTTTTTCCGGACTCCAAATTCGGAGTGTTTTGTTTCATACGCACACGTAAGCGCACCCCTGGCCTTACCTTTCAAACGAGGAGCTTTTGTTCATCACCTCATAAAACTTTTGGCTTACGAGTTTGAACTGTTAGCTTTGCACTGGTTAGCCGGGAACGCCTCCCGAGCCCCAGTTGTAGGTAGCATTCAAGGTAAGACCCGCTCTGTCTAACGGGATTGCCGAGGATCAGAAGAGATACGGAAGAGATAACTGCTTGGCAAATTGTAAACACATGAGAATCCATCCTGTAGTCTGTTCTTGGTTTCCGCAGGACTTTTTTTTTTTCTTAGGAGCTCATTAGTCGCTCATTTACAGAGAAACCAAGACTTACTGCTGTTTACTATATGAGAAGAGATTATTTGACCAGAACGGACTAATTTTGTGGTATAACATATAGTTTAACTATGGAATAATTAGATAGAAATTTAGGCACCCTACAGATTCTAATTATGTCATTCCACCATATCCAGCCTCCTGTTTTGTTTTTGGAAGGTTTTTGTGAACTTTGGTACTAGAGGATGTGAGATCCAGTGACTAGATAATGCTTCTTATTAAGTTCATATTATTTTGTAAGCACTGTCTATTTCAGTAAGAAAAGATCATCTACAAAGCACAATCACAAAGAAAAACAACTTTAAAGATTATCTGCCTTTAATAGTAGTAATTAATCTCTTCTACTATTTATTTATTCATTTATTTGAGACAAAGTCTCACTCTGTGGCCCAGGCTGGAGGGCAGTGGTGTGATCACAACTCACTGCAACCTCCACCTCCTGGGTTCAAGCATGCCTCAGCCTCCCTAGTAGCAGGGATTACAGGTATTTTGCCACCACACTCGGCTAATTTTTGTATCTTTGGTAGAGATGGGTTTCATTATGTTGGCCAGTCTGGTCTCGAACTCCTGACCTCAAGCCATTCGCCCACTTCAGCCCCCTAAAGTGCAGAAATTTCAGGCATGAGGCATGGCACCTGGCCCTTCCTTTTCTATTATTGAAAAGTATTTACAAATGCATAACATTTTTGTATTAAAAGTGCATCTTGTCTCGTCATAGAAATACCCCAAATCAATTAAGGGACACAATAAAAGTGACTTTTTGCTGACAACTGTGAAAACTAAAAAGAAGAAAAAATAGCTCAGCTGTCAGTGCCGGCCCTCCCTCCAGTTGAACTTTTTATCTTCCCTGATGGTTGTAAGTTAGTGGGAGTAGTGCCTCCAAGATTGATACTATTTCAGAGAAAGCTTTAAGATGGATAAAGACTGGATAGGTTTTAATAATAATGGATGTTATTAAAATGGAAATAATACTAGAACCTACCTTACGTGACTATTATAGGATTGAATGCAATGATGAATATCAAGTGTTTACCATAATGCCTTACACATGGAGTGTACATACTCAAGTAATAATGCTGAGTATCGTCTTCAATCCCATACGTTAGTTGCATCTGAATCTAATTCAGGTTTGAATTTGTATTTAATAAATCATTACTGTCACTTTACTTCTGTATCATTGCTTGGAAGCATTCTCTTCTGATTCCAGTAGAACCTAGTTGTTAAGAACATGGACTTTGGATTTGTACCCAGTAAGGAGTTTGTGTTTTATTCTTCTGGTGAGATGTCATTGGAGACTTTAGAACAGGTGAATGCCATGTGATGCATAACATGATCTGAATGCTTTTGATGAAGGTATCAGTGAATACAATGAATTAAATAAAATTTATTATAGTACTTTCATAAAATTAGTGGTGAATCTTTAACTTAATTGACTTATGTTTGACATTTGGTTCCCCACTTGTTAACGTCATCTTGGAAAAGTGACTTATCCTAAGGCTAAGTTTTTGTTTTTGTAAAATGGAAATAATACTGTAACCTACCTTAGGTGATTATTATAGGATTGAATGCAATGATGAATGTCAAGTGTTTACCATAATGCCTTACAAATAGAGTGTACATATTCAAGTGATAAGCATTGTTGTTCATTATTAATAATTATCACCATTAATTATGGAATCTAAGCATTGTTATATAAAAGCTTACTTACTGAGAATGGCCACTGTGTGATATCTGACAAGTACAGAGAAATCATAATCAGCTTTAACATTCATTCAAGAGCTCCTGTGCCAGGCCCTGAGGTTTCTATCAAAAGTAAGCAAATATAAGAGAGTAGTACCAGAAACTGATTTTTGAGGGAAATGGAGAGATTTTTATCAAAGGGTATACTTTAAGTTATAAGATAAATAAGTCCATGACATTTAATGTACAGCATGAAAGGCGATAGATGTATTAATTGTGGTAATCATTACATAGAGTATAAGAATACGAGATCATCATATTGTACATCTTGATTATATACAGTCTTTGCCAATTAAATATTTTAAAATTTCTAAAATAAGCAATATATATATATATTTTTAACTTCTGTAAGAAAATTTCTGAGGGTTATATATTTGCATCAGGGAGATTAGTGATTAAGTACTTGACCTTTAGATTCAGTCAGTCTGAGTTCGTATCTTATGTCATGTGCTTCCTCAGTTGTGTGACTTTAGCCAGTTAATTTCTCTGTACTATACTTTCTCTCAATAAAATAGGAGTGACAGTACAGTGTTTATGTCATAGAGTTGTTACGAGGATTTAATTAGAGTATGTCAGCTGTTTAGCACATATCTATTTGTGGGCTACCAGCTCAATAGAAAATATAGCTTATTGTTACTAAATGAACTGCCGCGATTAAGGTAAATTCTAATAGTGGATATTGTTGTTGTTTGTCTGTTTTGAAATAAAAATACCTCGACCTTGTTTAAAATTTAAACAGTACAAAAGAGCATGAAATAGAAAATAAGCCTGTCTCTAACTCAAACCTTCATATTTCCCCTCCATGAGGAAAGTGGTATTATCAATTTCTTGTGTACCCTTCTGGGAATGACCACACATACATATATATATCTTTAAAAAATACAAATGATAACATGCTATAAGTCTAGTAAATCTGTATTAGTTTATTCATTCATTTATTCAACAAGTATATATTGGGTCCTAAACATTTGACGAGCAGTGTTCTAGGTGCTGGGGTGCAGATGCTTCATGCTCTCTCAGTGCTTACATTCTAGAAGGAAAACAAGCAATAAGTATGTAACCAGATAATATACACTTTCCAGTTAGTACTAAATTTAAGGAAAAAAATAAACCTGGTAAGGGATTGGAGAGGCAAAGGCAGGGTGACACTTGAATAGATTCTTTAGGGAAAGCCTCTGTAAAGTGGTATTTGAACAAAGACCTGAATAATGAATTGAGGGATTACAATTTGCAAATATCTGGAGGTAGAACCTGCCAATAAGCAAAAATACAAAGCCAGGAGGCCAAAACAAGAATGAAGTCTTTTAGGAATATTAAGAAAGTCATTGCAGCTAAAGCAGAATAATTAAGTGGGGAGACAACAGTAGAAGTCATTGTCAGAGAGATAGACAGGGCCATATGTGGAATTTACAGGCTATGGTAAGGAGTTCATATTTTATTCTTAGGGTGAGAAGTCACTGGATAGTTTAGAGCAGGTAAATGACATGCAATACATGATCTGAATGCTTTTGAAGAAAGTATCAGTGCATTCAATCAATGAATTAAATAAAATTTATTATTGTACTTACATATAATTAGGGGTCAATCTTTAATCTGGGGTGATCACTAGCTGTATATGTTATAAGTTAAAGATCAACGGCTGGGCACAGTGGCTCACGCCTGTAATCCTAGCACTTTGGGAGGCCAAGGTGGGCAGATCTCCTGGGGTCAGGAGTTCAAGACCAGCCTGACCAACATAGAGAAACCCCATCTCTACTAAAAGTACAAAAAATTAGCTGGGCGTGGTGGTACATGCCTGTAATCCCAGCTACTTGGGAGGTTAGGCAGGAGAATTGCTCGAACCCGGGCGGTGGAGGTTGCGGTTAGCCAAGATCACGCCATTGCACTCCAACCTGGGCAACATGAGTGAAACTCTGTCTTAAAAAAAAAAGAAAGATTGACCTGTTCACCTTAGTATATTACCATGCAAGCATTGAGGAGAAATAGATTTTAATACCTCATTAAACGTTACAGAGGCATGAGCTGTTCTACATAAATGAATCTTCCAGAAAATTGAATATTAGCCTTGGTAAGTAATAAAGAATTCTAACCACACTCAATGATGAAAATAAAACATGATCTTCCCATTTCTTTAATTTTCTAAACAAGAAATTGGGAACATTATTTCTTACCTTTTTCTTTTTGATGCCTCAGAGTTCTCATTGTGATTGCCTGTTATTGTCAGCTGTTGTACTCTAATATATTATTTCTCTAGAAGATATACATTTTTCTGTTTCCCTCTACTCTAAATGAGTAAATTGCTTTTTGGATTCTGTGAGTACTTTTGATAGTTTATTAATTCATTCATTGGTATATTTGAAAATTTACTATATACTAGACTCTCTACGAAAGACTAGGGATATAAAGTAAAAGCCCCATTAGCTGTCATTTCTTATCATTCTCGTGTACCCTTTTCTTATCATGCATAATAATCATAAAATTTAGGAGCTGGAAAAAGACCATATGTATCATATAATCTAACC